AAAAAAAAAAAAATTAAATTTAAAAAGTGCTTACATTCCCTAAATTCACAAATGACTGAGAAAATATTCCACCAAAGGCAGCACTCATTTGACCTTCCAAATAAGCATGATCAATATAAACTGACCCTTGTACTTCCTTTGTGCCTACACATGTGACTTGAATAGCTCATGAGAGGTATTAATCATTTTGGTGCTGTGAGCTTCTTTGGGGGGATATAAATAAAGGCATTTGAATATTGAGGAATGAAGATAGTGTTTGATTTATGTAAGATGTAGTTTTTCAATAAAAAGTTGCCTTGTATTTTTATAATATAGAGCCAAATTTGAAGCAGAAGCAAAAAGTATAAGAATGACCAGGAAAGTGAAGAATCAAGTGATGACAAGGAATCATAGGCATTCCAATGAGATACCCATGCACTTAGCATTTCATATTCCTGATGTGTTTTCAGATAAAGCCAGTGCACCATATTACTTATATCATCTGATTTAATGCTTAAAACTGGGAAATGCAAATCAAAACCACAATGAGATATCACCTAATTCCAGTGAGAATGGCCTTTATCAAAAAATCCCAAAACAACAAATGCTGGTGAGGATGTGGAGAGATAGGAACACTCTTACATTGCTGGTGGGACTGCAAATTAGTACAACCTCTGTGGAAAAGAATTTTCTCCTCTTTTTGAGGAAATATCTCAAAGAGCTAAAAATAGAAATACCATTTGATCCAGCAATAGCACTATTAGGCATCTACCCAAAGGAACATAAGACATTCTATAATAAAGACATCTGCAGTCGAATGTTTATGGCAGCACAATTCACTATTGCAAGGATATGAAAATAACCCAAGTGCCCGTCAATCCATGAGTGGATTAATAAAATATGGTATAATGTATACAATGGAATGCAACTCAATTACAAAGAACAATGGTGATCTAGCACCTCTTATATTTTCCTAGATAGAGCTTGAGCCCATCCTCCAAAGTGAGGTATCACAAGAATGGAAGAATAAACATCACATGTACTCGCCATCAAATTGGCACTAACTGATCAACACTAAGGTGCTCACATGGTAGTAATATTCACTGGGGGTTGGGGGGATGGGGGTGGATAAACTCAAAACTAATAGACATGGTGAGTGTTGTATGGGGGAAGGGCATGCCTCTAATCCTGGCTTGGGTGAGGCAAAGCCATAACATGTAATTGAAATATCTGTACCCCCATAATATCCTAAAATTAAATAAATAAATACTTAAAT